TTCCTGCTCGCACAGACATAGACACCTGGGAACAATAGGTTTGCATTAATGTTTTTGTCTTCTTCTGCACCTATTTGTGCTGGTGAACTGATACTGTTACAGTAAAAATCTACATTGTGCAGCTGTAGGCAGGTAAATAAATAACGGAAAGAGTCTGAGTTCTTAAAAAGTAATGAAAATTTATTCAGGTTTGCGTCACTGGTTTGAGAACATTGCTTTAGACAGGGTTTACTTTCTTTTCAGAAAAGGCAGCATCTATTTTTCTCATTAATCCTTTCATTGCAGACCTTGTTATGACAATGCACAGAAACTGCTTTACGTGAGTTATGTCTTTTTTGTTTTATCAGTCTAATTCAGTGTGGATATATTTACATCAGTATAAAGCTACCCTGTATGATACAGATTTTTCCTTTCTGAGAGAAGGAAAGGCAGGTTTACTCTGAGGTCACTCCGTTGCTGTGTGAGAAGCTGGTGATACCAATACCACCATGCTGAAGGAAAGATGTGTGAGAGGAACCACTCTCCTAGCCAAAGTAGTACTTGCAGTAAAAAAATTTAAAAATCTCTGTCAAGACCAAACTATAAGTGGATATAAATGCAGCTGTTTTAAAGTGTATTTGCTATTTGAAGCTGTTTCATCTCAAAGAAAAAAATCATTTACATAGTAGAGGAGTCTTTACTGTTGAGGCTGCAATTTCTGACCAAAAAAATCCCACTTTTTTGGCTAGGCATTTACTCACCTTACCTCATGCATCTTAACAGCCTCCTGAAGAACACCGAGAAGTTGGTATGCGTTATTGGTGGGGGCCACTAAACCTTCTTCATTACCGTAACCTACTGTGGAGCATCCAGCTCATAGTTATGGTCAGAGGACTGCAGAGAAAGTCCCCTTTTGGACTAATTTTTGCTTAGCCATAAAGCAGGTGGTAGTGAACTGTTCTTTTTGTTCACTGTGGACAGAACAAGAATCAATGAGTCTAAATGGCAAAAAAAGAAATTTAGGCTGGACAGCAGTGAAGCCTTTCTTGCTGGCAGGGGTGAGTGGGTGTGGTACATCCATCATTCAGGATTTTTAAGGCAGTTCAGACAAACAGTTATCAAAACTGCTTTGAGAAGGCTAAATCCTGCCCTGGGCAAGAAGAGGAAAAATGGGTAATCTGTTCTCCTCCAGAGGCATTTCCTCTGATTTTTTGGTAGCAATTTTGATGCCACTTTATGATTATTATAACTAGCTGTGTTATCCCTCTGTACTTTACTGATATGTTCCTGTACATGCTTCATTTTACTCTTTCAGCACAGAAATAATGATAACAGAATTTGTTAATGTATAAAGGAAAAATATGCCCCTATTTAAGAGAGCATTCAAATTCCGAAGGGCAGTTTTAACGTCATCTTTTATTTTTGTTTTTCTGTATTCAGGATTCTCAGGTGTTTGTGACATGTCTGTTTTTAACATCATGGCATAACATATTTGGAAAGTGCTGGAAAAATATTTCAGATTTTTTTTTTTTTTCCCCTTAAAAATTTCAAAAATCCATTACAGGATTCATCTTTTCAGTTAACAGGATTATACAGTAAAAATAAATTATTTAGACACTATTGCATTTGAAATAGACTGAAGAATTCTTACACATACTTTATTTGTGCATCAGAAATTTGGGAATTTAAGAATCCTACCTTATCTATCATTCTTAAGCTCATCACAGTCTCTAAAATCAATTTAGCAAGAGGATGCTCAGCCAGTGCTTTGAAGCATCCATACATAAATATTGCCATGTCATTCTGTTGGTTGGGATTATGTTACTTGCTGAATGATTGCTACTCATTTTTTGCCAGTATAATCAATAAAAGTGACACTGAGAAATCTGATCTTCCTTTCTCTGCAGGCCAGCTTTGGGTGGTCTCCTTACATCATCTTTTCGGCAGCACCAGGAGTCCTTGGCAGCAGAAAGAGAAAGACGACGTCAGGAGAGAGAAGAAAGGTTGCAAAGGATAGAACGTGAAGAAAGAAACAAATTCAAGTAGGACTCTCAGTCTGTTGCTTTAATATGTGATGAATTTGTAAATCATTGAGACATTCAACTGAAAAATAACTTAATTGATGAATAGTTTGAGTGTCTCTTTAGATACCTTTCTTGATCTAAGTATTTTAAGAACTGATATATTAAACACATCATGATTAATTTTGGCATTTAATAAACCATCAATTTTTTTACAGACAGCTATATATTTGCCAATTATACTGACTGAATACATGAAGAGGCCAGGTTTTTAGCTAATATACTCCTCAAGCTATAATCTCAATGAGGCATAGGGTTTGAAGATGAAACAGTGGGAGGAAGGTATCGAGAAGTGGGGAAGGTATCAAGAAGGGAGGAAGGGACTGCACTGAGACATCTTTTTACTTTTATGTTCTGCAAAGTATAAGTGATTTGCTGTCTTGGAATGCGTGGTAGTGTTTTTAAACTACTTTTTCCTGCTTTTCTGAACATGTGTCTCTTCCCCCTGGAAACAGCAACTGACAGAAATAAATTGTCAAAATTATTGCTCAAACCATGGCCAGACAAAGGCACCAGCTGAATATAGGACTCTCCATTTTTGCATCTGAGAACATGTTGTGTGCTGTGGGATCCTAGGGTGTGCTACCTGAGGATAGTAAGAGACAAGCCCTCTCCTCCTGTTAAATCCGTGCCTGGAAATCCCAGCACAGACACTAGCCAAGACTCTAGAGGGCTTAGGATAGACAAGGAGCCTATACCTGAAGTGGTTTGCCTTGCTGTCTGAAGGGAGTGCACTAAGAAACCAATTTGTTTCCTCATAAACAGGAGTGAAAATTAAACTTATTTTTAGTAGTTAGAAGACATAATGTAGTAATCTAAAAAATGGTAGGATAAATGTTTTGTAGCCTTAGAGTTGGCATTTATGGAAAAGATGGCACTGGATTTCATGTGAGCTTGTTTATTAGTATGCAGGATTGTTTTCACTGTAATCATCTCTTTAGTAAGAGGTGGAAATGGTCTGTGTCATAGTGAATTTGAAAAGAGGAATAATTTACTAGTGGTTGGTTGGTTGGTTGAAGGAGAAACTCTCCTGGCTCCAGAAGATAGCTAGTTTAGAAGAAAATGAGAGGCGGAGGGAAGGTGGAACAGCACCATAATAGGATCTTTGGCAACCAACAGCTGCCCAAGTTCTGAAACACAAACAATCGGGTCTCAGTGTTCAAGCCTCTTCCAAAAACTCTCCCTCTAAGTGCTATCATCAGGCTGCAGCAGGCTGCCGTGGACAGCCAACATGATCTTTCAGAAAGGAAACTCCCAGACCAAAAAAGCCACCAGGACATTTGGCAGCTTGACCTGTTTGAATAACAGATCTGCGCATTTCACTAGAGGTTGGCTGCAGCACTTGTTCTGTCACTAAAAGAGCTTCCTTAAAGTCAGAAAAAACAATTTTTTAAAAATATACATCTTCATCCCATTACTTCAGAGTCAGAAACTGTTTAACTAAACATCATGATTGTGTTGCACATTTAAGACAACAATTTTTCCATGTCCAAGGTTTTAATCTTCTAGATTTGAGTTCCCTGGTCACCCAAAAGTTATAATGTGTTTGAGTAGAGGGTCTCCAAAGCCACCAAACTTTGCAGACAGACAGCATCCCACAGCTGATTAAACAGTCTGGCAGGAGGAGAACAAAGCCACAGCAAGCAGTCATGAACAGTTTCATAAGAGTTCTTGGGATTACATTATCGTATCATCAGTCTGGCTAGAAACCCAGTCTCTGAAGATGTATTTTTGATTAAAAATAGCACTTGCAATTCACAGCCTTTAAACTTGTGAGCAATACTGGATTTACTATCATGACTCATTTGTTATCTCATTCTTTCCAACTCAGCCTCGAGAACGTTGCACTAGGTTCTGGCACTATTATTGACAAATTGAGGATAATTTGAAGGAGAGCATCACCAGTTTTGAAAGAGCTTGGTTTTAGGAGAGGTGTTAAAAAGCTTCATAAGCTATTGCTAGCAAAGGGATAGTTTACATAATAGATACTTTTCTCAGAGCACTATTGTATTCATTGCATATATAGAACAATATATCCTAAAATACAAGGGTTATTCTTCAGCTGTAGGGAAGAGTGAAAGTTGTCAGAGGGGAAAGACTAATGTTAAAATTTGCCTGCTGAAAAATTCTTCCCCCCCACCCCACCTGGGAATTATTCCCGTAGCTGTTGTAATTCCAAAGAATACTCTAAAAATATGATAAAATTATAGCCAGTTCAGGGATTCAAAGGATATGGAGATAGCCTGAAACAGTAATGTGTGTTCTCTATTAATGGACTTTTGAAGAGCACTTGCAAGCAGGTGTTTGATAGCTGTTGATGTAGTAGATGGCAAGTCATTCATTTGATGACAGAATATAAAGAGAAAAATAGTCTTTTATTCATAAATGGTGTAGTTCTGAAAATCTTTCTGGCTACTCACAGGTTATGCTGTGGAAGAGTCTAACAAATAAGGTGAAAGTCTCATCAGCTTTGCCCACCAGATTCAAAGAAATATTAAAAATATAGTGTAAGGAACTACCTTGCTGTGATATTGAGGCAGACTGGACGTTCACTGGGTTCTGCTGCACTCCGAGTTAAATTTGCATCCACGTTTGTGGATGTGACAGACCTGCTTGAAACCACAGTGCTCAGGCATCCAGCAAAGTTGACTTGGCAAAACCTAAACATATGAGTTACTTGAGGAGCTGTGGGAGTGGCAGCTGAGATAGAGGAAGGTTTGTATGTAAAACTCAGGTTGAAAAATAAAGAAGTGGAACGTTGTTTCCTGTCCGATGATCCTACAGGCACCTTGTAAGACCAAAGAACTGTCCTACTCGGTAATGCCAGTCTGTTGTCCCGTTTCCAACCGTGGCAACTAGAACACACTGAGGAAAGAGGGCTGATACAGTATGCTCCCTGCCTTGGTCTAGCCTGCCAGCTGCCACAGCCACTGCTTCGGGGCATTCTAGATGGAGCAAATGAGGAATGGTTTAATAGCCACTAATGTGCCTGCTCATTATGGATGAGCCCAGTTCATTGTATTTCATTTCAGCTTCCAGGTTTCAAAATGTACTTCAAGGTCTTCACTTTTTGGATTTTTTAATAATTACTTGTAATGACTTGCCGAACTACATAGTTGGTGTACACATATCTGTGGTGTATGCATGGAAAAGCATACATGCACAGTTTTCAGCCTTTTTTTCAAAAAACAAGCTAATAATTTTTGTTGATAACAGCCTTTGTTGTCTCTGATCAGCTTGTTTGTACTGCTCCTGGTTTCTTCTCCTGTACTTATACTTCTTATACTTACCTTATTCTTCTGGTTTCCTGTGCAATTTACTGCAATTTTCTTTTTAGCCGTGATTATTTAGACAAAAGAGAAGAACTAAGACAAGCAAGAGAAGAGAGGTTTGTATATAATACATCCATCCTTCCCTTTTGTTGTTTGCACTTCCAATATTCTTTACTGTGGAGCTGTTGTGTATTTACATTTTTAACTCTGCATGCACAGAACACTTATTCCAAAAGACTTCTACAAGAAAGTGGTTGTTTCATTAAAGAGGAGAATGAAGTCCAGCTGGAAGTACAGCAATATATGAAAAGTACCAGGACTGGAATGCATAAGAAGTGATTGATCATCTTTTATCTATTTGTGTGGGAAATAAGCTTACTCCATTTGCCTCAGAAATTTGCCCAAATTTAGTATAGTTATAAATTAAATAAGCCTGCCTGTCTCACCCTGTGGGTCCCAAGCTTTCTGGAAGCTCAGAAAAGGCAACTGAGGATAAAGGAAGCTGGGGTCACAAGCATTACAAAACTGCAGTCACAGGCTGATTGAAATGGTTCTGACCCGCCCCCCCCAGCATGTTTTTAATCTTTCAGGGCCAAGTTTTCTATGCCAGTCTCTCTAAACATCAGCGAGTAAATTACGAAGCTTAGCAGTGTTTATCATTGAGGCATTGTTTAGTTATATTTAAATAGTGTATCTAAAGGGGGTGGAGCCTTTTTAAAAAGAAAAAAAGATCTATTAAATAGTTTAGCAACTCTGGGCTAGGCTGGGAGTTATGTGCTTATGAAAGCACATTTTTAAAGGAATATTCAACTAAAGACTTTTCAGTAGCTTCATCTCTACCTTACTAGTAATTACACCCTGGAGGGAGCTCTTTTTTTTAACCTGGAAAATATGCACAATACTGAACAAATAGTAGATGAAAAATCATCCAGATTGCTTCATTTCTGCTTTTATGGTCCTCTAGAGGTTACTTTCTGGAGATACTTTTGGATAGTCAAAAATTGGAATTACATTATCAAAGTATGAGAGCAGCCATCTCAGAAATCATTGTGTTGCTGCTTTTTGGTTTGGGATTTTTTTTTTTTCCCCTTCACAAAACCATTATACAGGAGGCAGTTTATTTCTGCAAACTAAAGTCTGATCTATTGTGGCTGAAATAGCTAATATTAAAAAATTATTTTGACATCTCTAAGAGTAAGAAAAAGTGGATGGGCTTTCCTTTGTCCTTTCAGCCAAAACAGTTACAAATAGTATAAAGAATTTTCTGAAATGAAATGCATCTGAGCACTTAAGCATCATACACCGATCTTAGCTGAATGAAACCTTTTACAGCAACTGTGCTAGTCAGCAAGATTTGAAACAAATTAGAAGTGAGGTCTCCAGCACTTTCAAGTTGTAAGGGAATGTGCCAAGTAAACTGGAGTGGTTTTGGGGAAGTGTTCAGTAGCAGGGCATCACTGCTAGCTGAGACAATTTCACTGGTCATTAGGAATGTGCCTTTATCCTTAGAGCTCTTTTGAACTGAGATCACAGAATCACAGAAAGTTGGGGATTGGAAAGGACCTTGAAAGATCATCTAGTCCAATCCCCCTGCTGGAGCAGGAACAGATGTTAAACTATAAGGTCTTCCTCATAAAGAGGAAAGACACGTTTGCTTTGAGAGCGCATAAATATTGGAGAAATCTTCTGCAAGTGAGGTCATGCACCAGTAGTCCGTTACATTGGCCTTCTGTAACTTTTTTTTTTTTTAGAACCACCTTGGCATAAATGACATTTTATTTCCTGTAGCAAGTTGCATGTTGATTTGTTTTAAAAGAATGCATGGACTGTAAGAATATGCTATAACCAAGGTGCTAAAATCCTAGTTAAAATCTGGGTTGTACATTTACCCCATATCAGTTTGGAAAAGTAGAATGAGATAATATTCAGCACGTAGGAAAGGCTCTGTTAAAAGCACGTTTGTCTAAATTCTGTCAACTTTTGGAGCATTCTGTGTACTATTGTGTCATTCTGGAGCTCCAGAATACAGACACCCACTTTTCCAGTGGCTCTGGAGTGGCCTGGGTATGAGGGAGAAAGATCCCTGCAGCTTCAAGAGCTCTAAGTGTAACTGAGCACCATTCATTTCACGTGATCTTGCTGTTCAGTGATTCAAGGCCTTTGTTACTTTGTTTGGATGGGTATTTTCCAGTGGTAATTTAAAAATAAAGCCAAGAAAGGTGAGCTCCCAAGCCCTCACTAGTGTGATTTACAACTCAGGTGCTCTCCACCCTGTGACTTTGTACATAAACATTTTAAGTCACCATCAGGGCATCACTCAGAGACCTAGTGAACTCACAATGATATTTGCATCTACTCAAAGATGATAAGTGAAATGTTGTGTTCATGAGGTATACCAAATGTATAGCCCACAGATTTTTGGGTTTTTGTCTATAGGGAACAGTTGGTATAGGCATCATAATGCCTGCAGGTTTCCATGATTTAAAGGAACATGGCAGTACACAGAGGCAATGTGTCAATCCTGAAGTGGAGGAACTAATTGCAGCAGAGGGATGGTAGCTCTTCCTTTCAACTCTTTCATGAGACCTTGTGTATTTGATGCTGCCATTCATTCATTGTTAATACACTGGGCAGAAACAAAAAATAACCTAAATAAATGTCATCTATCAAGTATGAAGTGTTAATACCTGATTCTTGAGTGATTTTTATTTCTCAGTTAAATTGCTATATCTACTTATTAGACTTCCCATTCAATAACTAGTTATGCTGATGTGCTACCATGAGAGCTGCTGTTCTGTTTCCCTTTTTTCTTTCAGTATAATAAGCAGGTGTATTTTGAGGAGGCACATCTTGACGATATTCCTCTGCTTTGCTAGTTGGCTCTGCAGCGCAGAGCTGCTTTAACATTTTAGCTACAGAAGCTAAAATGTTAAAGCAGCTAAAAAAGAGCTGAGGACAATGAAACATTGTAGTTCCCCCTCCCGCCCCCCATTAGAGAAGGATCCATCCAGATCTGTTGGCAAACTGCAAAGCCCTCCTTGGTGGCAGCCAGCTGGTCTGTACCTGCTTTCATTAGAGAAGGATCCATCCAGATCTTTGTTGTAGTCTGTTGGCAAACTGCAAAGCCCTCCTTGGTGGCAGCCAGCTGGTCTGTACCTGCTTGAGCTAAGTGATCGATTTGAATGGCTCTTTATGAGTCTGAAGTCCCATCTGCTCTACTTGTGAGGAGGCGGGAGGCGCAATATGTAAGTGACCAACGTCAAAAGAAAGACTGGCTTCATGAACTGTAACAAAACATTATGCTAATGCCAGCAAAAGGCTTTCTCCTCTGTTGAAAAGGCAAAAATCATTCTCAGGAACTGGCTTCATGTTAGAACTGTAAACAGTTCCTATTTTATAACCATACAAGTATGTGCTTGTTATATTTTCATCCAGAGTCTGTAGGGGTTCTTTTTCTCGCAGAATTTGTTCAAAGCTTGTGCATACCTCTGGAGGAATAAAAAAAAAATGAGTTTGTTCTTCATTATTGCTGTTTGCAATAAAGCAAATTGCCTCTGAAAACACAAGGACTGTTCTTCAAAGACACTTTTCTATGCTTTATATGGATGTTTGCAAATGTGCATGTGTGTGGCTACCATATGTACTAAGCATGTTACCACGTATGTTACCACATATGGCTGATGACTTTACCCTGCCTGCTTTTTATGCACCCTCGTACACTAATTTGGGCTGTCAGTGAGGCAGAAGGGGGAGGAGAGGTGTTCCCTGTTACGAAGTGTTTACAACAGTGGGTTATAGGAGGATGACCACATTGTTTCAGGGACATAAGCAGTAGTCTCGATTAGCCTGTTTAACAGTTCACTTGTGGGTAAGACAAACAGTCTAAAGCTCAATCCAGCTGTATTCATGAATTTATTCCTTAGCAAATAATGGTGGATAAAATTAGCAGACATCTGGAAGAGGCACATATTTCAAAGTTATTTTGGTTGAAATGTATAAAGCACACTATGAAGAATATGATTGGTAGCTGGTCTTAATAAACAGTTAGTGAGTTCTGCCTGCCTAAAATGCAAAACAGATGTATCTTTGTTCTTTTAAAGTGACTTTGATGAATAAACTACATGTGACGTCAGGTCCAAGCTATTGGATGTCTGAGTCCGGCAGAGAAATTTTTTAGAATAAAAAAAAGAAAACTTTCCATTGTAGACTCTGGAGAGAACAAAGTTAATTCCAGTGCACTGGTCTCAGAGCAAGTAGAAGCAGGTTCAGAGACTTTAGATAGTCAATCCAAACTATTGGTATTTATTATTGGTATTGTTTTCAGGGAGATCTGTTTTTGTCTGCTGCACTAAACCAGTTTCCTCTCCTTGCAGCAAGTCTCAGACTTTGGCTGTTTGCATCAGTATTAAGGGGCTCTGGCTTTGGAGGTTTTTGGGCTTGTTTTTTTTTTTTTCCCTTTTGCTTTTTTTTCCCCTCCTGTTTTAGTTTTAGGAGAGGGAGGGCTGGGAGGAGGAGGAGGAGGAGGGTGAAAAGGAGGACAGACAAATGCTTCCAAAAAGAGAAGGACTATGCAGACACAATACTATATCTAAGGACTCTTTAACTCTGCTGGTTTTTGCTTTTGTTTTGTCATGAGCAGTTTAATTTTTTTCAGGGCAATAGTCTTTGCTTTGTTGTGCATTTTTTGTCAGATTGACCAGGCAGGCAGTTTAGCACGGTACCCCTCGTGTCAGGAAGTCAGCTCATTCTCTGCAGGTGTTTCATCCATAAACAAGCATCAGCCACAGACTTCTTTTTCTTTACGGAAACCCTCTGGAATTTAACTTTCAGATACAAATACTTGGAGAGGTTGGCAGCGGAGGAGTATGAGAAGGAGCTGAAGAGTCGGAGTGTAAGCCGAGGCAGAAGTGAGCTGTCCTTGAACCTGAGATCTCCTTCAGCCCCATCCTCACCTGTACCCAAGTGTGTCAGCCCAGCATCCATAGAGTCCCAGGAAGAGCTGAAGACCCCTTCCACGCCTTGCGGGACCCCTCGGCCCTCAGAAGGTAAGTG